GGGGTGGGGTGGGTGGGGGGGGGAAGACCACCCCACAATACCTTCTCCTCTTGGGATTTTGGGGACGCAGACACATGTACCCAGCATGTTTCAAGCCACTGGGCTGGGACTTGAACTGTGGTTGGCCATATGCGAGTCCAGCAACATAACCATTATGTCATCTGCTGGTCCCAAGGCATGTTCTTAAAACAAGGAAGCCAGCTACCTAGAGATGCCACTCCCGTAAGGTATCAGTTTGTATTTTTCCAGATCAGGAAAGAGCAGATTTCCCAAAGAAGCCTAGAGGCCTTTCCTTTACATCAGAAGGGACATGATTCATTCCCAAAGGGCTCCAGGGTGTAGGAACTAGAACCTCAGTGAGCATCGCCACCCTCCGAAAGGACAAACGTCTCTTTCCTTAGCCCAAAGTCTGGTCTTTGAGACAAAAAAACCCCATAGATAATGTGTTTTAGCTTCTTAGCTAAGGAGGGAAGAGAATGTTCTCATTAGAGAAGTCAAAGCCCAGAAAAATATGGAAATTCTGCCCTGGCGACTGTGAGAATTTTCTTTTGGAGGGCGGAGTTTTTGTTCTTTTTCCATACCTTCGCATTTTTAGTTCTCCACACTGCAGGCCATTTAGTTAGATCCACCAAAGTCAATGAGAGCGGGAGGCCCAAGACTCCCGAGGGTGGAGCTGGGTGACCGCCCAGCTCTGAAAGTAAGCCCAGGTTCTCCAGCCCCGGTCTGAAGGAAATCAGGCAGTGAGGCCTTGAGAAGTGGAATTTGTTTCTCCTTTCTCTTTGTTTTTGTAGGACTCTGCGCCTGAGTTTATCTGCTGCAGTTTGGCATTTCTTTACCTAAGCTTTTGGAGACAAAGACTGTGAAAGAAGGAGATGGGGACCGATGAGTGAGGCCCAGGATGTGGAGCCAAAGGAGTAAGAGAAAACAGGAATTCTGCAGAAGACAAGCATTTGGGAAGGCTGTGCCAGCTGAGCTGGCCCTGAGGGGGGAGCACTGAGGACCACTGAGTTAGTCAGAGGTCCCCAAGGCTGCTCCTCCTCAGTCGCCATGTGGCAGAAATTCAAAGGGTGGAGTCCTCTCCCCTCTGCTGATAAAATTCTTTTCCCTTTTCTTTTTCCCCTGGTACGTGTAGCCCCAGACAGGATATGGGTGTGGGGTCTGCAGGCAGGAGGGACCCAAAGGAAGAAAAGGAATGTAAAGGGGCGGGACTGTGGTGAAGGGGAGGACAGGCCTTGGAAGGCTCAGAGAACATAGACCTTGAGCCTGACAAAGAGGTTCCGCAATGACCTGAGCGGCTTCTCATTCTAGTGGGTGACATGGCGGTCCTGGGACCACAAATGCCAAGTCTGGTCAGTGATCTACCCCCCACCCCCACCCCAATATTAAAAAACCCTAGATGCTCTTGGGGAAGATGACAAGCTACAAACTGGCCCATGGAGCTTGGCAAGGTTGGGAATGTGGACCCCTGCCACACCCTTCTCTCCCAAAGCTGAGCCAACTTTAAGTCTCACTAGGTCTGCCCCAGGTTTTGCAGCCCCACCTCTGCAGGCCAAGGCCAGACTGATGCTGGCCAAAGAAAGGTGGGCCTCATTGAGCCAGGACACGGTCACCATGAGCTGTGTAGCCAAAAGAGAGTGGAGCATCTGATTGGAACCAATTGCCCAACTCAGTTGTCTGAGGCACACTCTAACACCCATTCCAGGGTTTCAGAACCTCTGCAACAGCTGTCCAAAAGGCAGGGCTGCCAGACAGGTCAACCCAGAACCTCACTCAGGGTTTCCTCCAGCCTGGAACCAGTGCTTGCCAACAGGGTGGACCCAAGGGGGCAGCAGAAGAGATTGGGTACAAAAAGGCCTGAGAGGCTGGCCCAGGTCACTGTCCTGCCATGTGGGTGGCCTTTAGGATGTCAGAGCAGGGAAGGGAGAACCCTAGAGGGCTACAGGCAAAATAGGAGCAACTTACAGCGTTTTAAATCTTGCAAAATGCAACGGGAGGAGATAGAGAGAATGTGACCCTCAATAAAAGCAATTAAATACAATACTTACTGAGCGCCTAATAGATTTTTAAAATATTTTATTTTAATTTATTTTACGTGCCTATTACTTTTTATCAAAGAGAGGACAGGAGCCTAAGAAGTGAGGGCAGCTGTGAGTGGAGCGTCCTGATGTTTCTACTAGCTTAGAACTTGGAGTGGGTAGACAATGAAAATTCTGAGATGAGGTCAAGTTTGAGTTTGTGCAGGAGTGAGGGGCTGTGGAGAGGAGGGAGGCAGGGCGCAGACTAAATCCCATTTACCACCACCTTCTCTCCAAGGGACCTAAGCCCTGTGCTCTTGGAAGGGGAATTCTGACTTAGCTTTCCAATCTTAAACGCAAGGATTTTTTTTTTCATAGACTATTCTTCATTCCAAACTGTCCTGCTCACCTAACTCGGCTTCCGCCAGGGCTTCCCGCGCGTTGGACCCCCGGCGCCTCGCCTTGGTAGGCTTCCCTCGCATTCCTTAATGTCCACTTCGACTCCCCCTGGCCTGCTGGACCCTGGGCGCCTGGGCCCCTTCCCCGCATCCCGCTCGGGCTTTCCTGACTCAACCAACTTTCCAGGTCTCCCCTACCCCATCTCCTGGTTCTGGCTCCAACTTTGCCACTCCGCGCCTTTGGCAACGCGAAGAGACACTGGCATCCCCAAAGCGTTTTACTTCGGTCAACTCGAGCGAGCCGTGTTGTCCCGCCTTCCCAGCCGTTAATTTACTGTCTCCGCGCGATGGCCTCCCTCACCCCAACCCCACCCCACCGATTCCCAGGTGAGGCTCTGGTCCCGGCTGGAGCCCCTTCCCTCCGCGCAGCTCCAGGACAGCCGCGAGCTCCGCGCCACCGGGTCAGGCGGGCAGCGTTGCGCGGGCGGTACTCACGCAGCAAACTCAGCAAGCAGAGCGCGGTCCAGCCCCGCGGCATCCCGGGCCCCGAGCGCGCGCGCCTGCGGACCAGCATCCTTCCCGCGCCGTTCCCGAGGGCATGCACGGAGTCGAAGACACTGCTCGGCCGGCCGGGACGCGCTCCTCCCGCCCCCTGCGCCCGGGAGGGGGGGTGGGAGATGCCTGCTTTCCTCCCCTCCCCTCTCCTCCCTCCCTCTCCAGTCTTGGCAGGGCCGGCCCCTCTCCTTGGCTACCAGGAACGTGTGCTTCCCCGGTTAGTCCCAAAGGCGGAGGGCGTTACGGGGGAACCTGGGGTTGCTGCCGTCGAGGCCAAAAGAGGTGGAGGTTTGTTTCGTCCCAGACGCCTTGTGCAGTTTTATGTAGAGGCCCTTCTCCTACTTCTTCAAGCTCGACTTCCACTAACTGTTAACCCCATTGTGTCAGTCTTGGCCGCAATCAGGGCGGAAACAAGTTTCCTCTGATTTTTTTGTTTCCTTCCCCCTTTCCTTTCCTTTTGGTTTTTCTTGACGTTTTAAGCCAGTAACAGTCTTGCAGAAGTAATTTACTGAGAGGACCTGAACTCACAAGTTGAGCATTTTACTAACCAGGTGAATCTGCGGCCCAGCCTGACACAGAGAGGGATCTTCACGCTGGATCCCGTGCACATGCTAAAAAAGCAGAAAAACTGAGCAGGACGCAAGCGTGACTGCAATTATTCATTTTAGCCATCCAAACTATCCTGCCACTTTTTTTTTTTTTTTCTGCATAATCCATTTGTGTAACTTGGAGGGTTTTTTCTTGTGACCACCCACATGTTCCCACTTTGTCCTCACCACCATCAGGAAAACAAAGGGCTCTCTTAGCACCTGAATGCTTCTGCCTGTCCTCAACCCTGCTGCAGCCCCAGGTCTAGCCCTCTAGGGCCTTCACCTGGCACTCTGAGCAGAAAAAGCTCTGGTGAGGTGCCTATTCTCCACTTAGTTAATCTGGGTGTTGGTAAACGGAACCTTGGAGATCTGACCTGGGCAGCGGGGTTGGGGAAGGAAGGACTAAAGGAGAGAAGATGACTCCAGGGTGTAGTCTGGGAGACATGCTCTGAGATCCTGCCTGAAAACACAGGACTGCAAATAGCCACAGGCATTTAACCCTGGGAATACTTTCTGAGAAATGCGTCAGGAGTTGATTTCCTCATTGTGCAACATCCCCCATTACGTCCACGAACCTAGATAATGGCCTACCTCATGCTTAGGTTACATGGGATAGCCTATTATAATCTCATGCGACCTCTGTCATATATGAGGTTCTTCATTGACATGATTGTACTCAATCTGGTCTCTTCCATGACATCCGTGCCACAACCTCAGGTAGAAAATAGAAGGGCAGACCAGCACTGTGGTCCTTTCTGATTTATTCCTCTGCAGAAACCTGGGCATTATAAGAGCAGATTTATCTTGGGGTCCATCTCAGACCTGCCTAACATTGGGTTGGGAGAAGGGTGTCCCAGGTCTAAAAACAAAGCCAAAATCTCCCTATTCTTGTTGCCTGACATTTTTTAAAAAATGTTAGTTTTTATTTCATAACCATACACTTAACTTTGCAATTCAGCTAGATTTGGAGGGGAATATGGAAAATATGGAACCCAAAGAACTGCAGCGAGAGCTCAGGTTACAGGACATAGCGAGCTGAGGGGCGGAGGGTGCTCTCCTGAGCTACAGAAGGCATAGTCTGATGGTTAGGAGAAAACAAGTCAAGTTCATTAGAGTTGCCCAAAGTCAGCAACGGTGATCTTCTTGCTGGTCCTGCCATTCTTGGACCCAAAGTGCTCCATGGCTTCCACGATATTCATGCCCTCTTTCAGCTTGCCAAAGACCACATGCTTGCCATCCAACTACTCAGTCTTGGCAGTACAGATGAAAAACTGAGAACCATTCATGTTGGGTCCAGCATTTGCCATGGACAAGATGCCGGGACCTGTATGTTTCAGGACGAAGTTCTCCTCTTTGAATTTCTCACCATAGATGGACATGCTGCCAGTACCATTATGGCATGTGAAGTCGCCACCCTGGCACATAAACCCTGGAATAATTCTGTCAAAGCAGGAACCCTTATAACCAAATCCTTTCTCTCCAGTACTCAAAGCACGACAGTTTTCTACTGTCTTTGGAACTTTGTCTGCAAACAGCTCGAAGGAGACTTGGCCTAAGGGCTCGCCGTCAAACAGCGATGTCTACGAACAAGCAGGGGTTGACCATGGTTAAGGGCGGGACATGCCAATGGCAAAGCCTGCCCAACATTTTTTAAAATAGGAAACAAAGCCCTTCATCCCATAATAAAAGCAGTGGTTTACTATGCAAATTCGATTGAACGCAATGGTATGGTATGAATGCATTTCAAGGTGCAAATGTTGATCAAAATCTGACCATATTGTGAACTCCAGGGCTTGCAGCTGGGGGCAGAAAGGGCTGCAAAGGCATTGTTTAATGGGCTATTGATCCTTGAGACTCCCTACTATCAAGAAAAAAAACTCCACTATTATTCTGCCCCACTCCCCTCAACACCCTCAGCTTCTGGAGCTGATCTCCTGCAGACAGCCCATATGAAGTTGCAGAGACAAAATGTAGGGTTGTAATCCCTCCCCACTAGATGTGAAAAACAGTTTGGCCCACTTGGCTCTCACTTCATTCATATTCTATTTCCATCAAATGCCATTTCTCTCCTGAAGCAAGACCATGGGGAAACAGAAACAAACTCACTCTACCACCTGAACTTCTTAACTAGGTATGGGAACAGAAAAAGAGAGTTTCTCCAAACCTGGTCTACACAGAGTCTGAATCAAAGGGCCATGAATCTGTACTTCGATGAAGAACGCTCCATGATTCTTTTTTTTTTTCTTGGGTGGGGGGGGAGATTTTTTGCTATAGTGCGTTTGCACTCACCAGAGAGACAGAGACAGAAAGTGAGAAATCAGCTTCCCCTCCCTGGGAGATGCCCATGTAACAATCTCTTCTCCACTCCCTTGGGATTTGGGGCACTCATGTACATAAGCCAGTGTGAGTTTCAAGCCTCCTGGTTCAGGACTCGAACTGCAATCGGTCATGTGGGAGGGAGTCCAGTGACGTAACCATTATGCCATCTGGATCCATGATTTGTATGCACACTAAAGTGCCAAAAGCCCTGGAAATGGCATGAGGTCAAAGTGGACGTCAGGCTTCAGGGAGAGAAAGAGGAGTTGGGGTGGGAGGCAGCATTTGGAGTCCTCTGAGAGCTGGTTCTCCTCTGGCCTGCAAGGCTAGGGATGGCACCGAACTATGAAGCTAGGTGACGACCAGCCACTCTTCATATTCTCCAGGGTCACGGAGACTCATCACACCAAGTACACACATCCTTGCCCCACCCACCCATAGCCACAGGTTCTAACCATTGGATGCAAATGTATCCAGGGACCTCGCAGGTGGGGCAGAGCTGAGCTGTCTAGTCTCTTCAAAGTTCTAGGCTTTCTGGGCTGCCCCTCACCATCTCTGCTTCCCTACAACATCACAGAAGCTGTTGCTAGAAGAGGATGTTAGCCTCACTGCACAGAGCGGAGGGTGTGACAGAAATAGACTGAGTGAAAGGCTCTGTCTGGAGCTGTAGAGACCTATGCAGGTTATGGCCACCCTAACTACTGAAATCCTCTCCCCCACCCACTCCCAAACACACACTGTCAAATTAAAATAGACCCTTATCCCATGTCAAATGTCAAATATAACATTCTTTTTTTTTTTTTTTTTAGAGGTTTTTGCTTGCTATAGGGGGCTTGCGTGTGCTCGCCAAAAAGACAGAGAGAGATAGAAAGTGAGAAATCACCCCCCAGGGGGGATGGCCATGCCGCAATCCCTTCTCCTCCATTCTCCTCTCGGGATCTTGGGCATGCGCCCAGTGTGTGCGTCCGGGACTTGAACCACTGTCGACTATATGGGAGTTCAGTGACATAACCATTACGCTAACTGCTGGTCCCTCCAATATAACATTCTTGAGGAAACAAACAAACAAAACAAAGTAAATGTTTGTGTTTAGTTTTTAGTTTTTGCTATAGGGTATGTGCATTCAATAGAAGAAGAGAGAGAGAAAGCAAGAAATCACCCCGTCCCCAGCGGGAGGGCCACAACACAGTGCCTTCTTCTCCTTTCTCCTTGTTTGTCCTCTTGGGATTCTGAGCATGCATACAGAAGGGCCCAATATGATTTTTAAAAATTATTTATTTTATTTTATTTTATTTATTCATTTATTTATTTTTTAATTTGACCAGAGAGAGACATATAGAGAGACAGAGAGAAAGTGAGAAAGCAAACCACCAGGTCCGAGACTCAAACTGTGGTCAGCCATGTGGGAGTGTCCAGCACCTTAACCACCACGCCACCCGCTGTTTCCCCAACATGATTTTTAAGCCACAGGGTCTGGAACTTGAACTGCGTAATCTGTCATGTGGGATCTAGTCGCCTTAACCTCTGCACCACCTGTTAGCTCTGGCTTATACCAAATGCTAACACATGAATTTGGGGACACATTTAAACCATAGCAAGATAGAATTATTATTCGATAAATGCTTATTTGATTCCTTTTCGAAACAGCCTTTTGGATTTTGATCCAAATTGCTAAAGATTAACTTGGAGAGAACGGAGTCTTTCATTTAGTGAACTTGGAATATATCTCCATTCCTTGAGTCTTTGTTAAAGTTCATGATTCTCCCTATAGTGTTTTTAATTCATCTTTTGTTAGACTTATTCCTAGGTAATTGATGTCCTCTAAGACTATTGTAAATAGTATCTTCTTTTTGGTTATTTTTGTTGCTGGTGTATGAAATACAATTCATTATTTTGTATTAATTTTTTTTATTGAGCTACTTAGTTAAATTCTCCTATTATTTCTCCTATTATTTGTAGATTCTTTTGCGTTTTCTATTTAAACTATCATATCAACAGCAAAGAGTGAACATTTTATGTTTTCTCTCCAATCCTTCTGCCTTTGATTTCGTTTTCTTAAGTTAGAGTGCTGGCAAGAACATCAAGGATAAAAAAATGTAATTATCCTACACGTCTTGGCCTTGTTCCAGATTTTGAAGGGTAAATTTCTTCTTTTTTTTTCTTTTTTTCTTTTTTCTTTTTTTTT